TTGATCTTGTCGGAATGAATTTTTTTCATCAAATTGCCACAACTATGAGGTATGCCACAACGCTTACAACCGTTAAGAAAGGTCAAGTCACCATATTGACACTCGATTGTCTCCTTTAATCAGCTGTAATTGGTACATTGTTTGGCAATTTTACCATCGTGATTAGATGGTATATATGAAGACCAAGTTGGTGTAGCCTTCTGTTAGGTTATAGTCTCTTTTTACTTGCAATCTTGTAACCATGCCAACGTGTTCAACTCTGGCTTTAGGTCTACATCATGCGAGTACGACACTTTTTGCTGAACACCTTCTACAAAAAGAGAGCATGGGCCAGAGCAGCCTGGTTGCGCAACCATATACGCAACAGTCGGGGCCTCTTGGATCGCGTTGTCCGGCGACTGGCGAAGCGAAGCAAGCTGGTGAAGCCGAGAAAGAATGTGACCACCAGCTGGCTTGGTAAACAGTTGAGCCGCAAGCCACGGTTGGCCCGGTTTCTGGGGCTGCTCGGAGTGGTACGCATCACCTGTGGCGCCTGCTCGAATGAGGGCAACCCGAAAGGAGTGAACTTCAAGAATGAGTTCATCCAATGCAACGAATGCGGTACCTACTACTGCCATATTTGCAATGCCGACATCAAAGGCATCTGCATGGTCTGCGATCTGCCGTTGGAGGAGCTGTCGATAGAGGTGGATATGGAGAAGCTGAGCTCGGATGAGGAGTCTGAAGCAATGGCCGTCCATCTTCTCACCCTCCGAGAGAGATGGGACGTCACGACATTAGCCGGCTCCACCGGCAAAGGCGTCATTGAAACCGAGGAGACTAGGGAAGACGTCACTTTCTCCAGTCTCTCGGAGGACAGGATGAATGACCGCAAAACATGAGATTGAGAGCGTAAGCCTTCAACGGCTTCTCCCCACCACATCACCCTTCTCATCCTTCTCTTCTACATCATATTTGCAGACTGGCCAAAGCCATGAATCATCCACAAAGTACCGGCATTATTTGGGCATCTGAAAGTCACAGTGGGCTTAGTGGGCCACACCTCGAGACCGGACAACCTAAAGCCCGGGAATTCGCGATCAGCAGCCAAAGAAACCATGCAATGCGCAGTTTTTGAAGGTTCCATTAAAGCCAATGAGAAGAATTTAACTTTTTTCCCTTAATTCTTCATTCGTCTTTTACCAGAATGCTGAGAGTTTATCAGGTTATGAGCAAGTGTACCTTTATTATGTAATTCAAGATCAATTTCATCCTTCTATCGAGAGCTTGGTGTCTTTGAGACGACTCTAAATGATGCATACGATGCTGACTACGTCGTTGACTCAAAGAGTCCGACTTGCCCACCCATTACTGTGACTGCTGTCATACAATCTTATGATTTCATTTGCCTCCCAAAGGTTATTC